CTATACGTCATACGCGAAAAAGAACTTGTGTGTATATATATATATATATATATACACGTGGAATTAATCCACGTTTTTGCGTGGAAACCGTATCAACGTTGACCGAGCGTCGGTCGTACGTAAAAGAGATTCTTTCTTTCGAAGAAATACGTGCCTATACGCGTCGATTTTACGCGTGACAGACGAAACTTGTCGTAGAGAAACGAAAACAAATACTACGTATGCGTAGATAGTTCGATCGACAGTGGCTCGTATACCCGCATTGCCAATACTGTGGCATTAGCTGATAGAGCGAACGCAACGAAGCGAAAAAATGCTTGGGCTCGAAGTCCGATAACTGGTCGGTCGTCATTCACCTTGGAAGCGAATCGGGGCACGTGCTTGTAGGCCGGCTGGCCAGCCAGCCAGCCAGAGCCAGAGCCAGGGCAAACCAATCGAAGACGAGCACCGATTACGCCTTGCGCCTCTCTATTTACGCGTGCGCTCGGCTCACGCGTGCGTTTCCCCCCTAAATTTTCGCGCTCTTTTAACACAGAGAGAGCGTCGAACGATCCACGTTGCGCTGCGAGGAAAAACTGGGCCAAGTTCTAGTGATAAGTTCGAGCGACGAATGGAAACGATCGAAGACGGCGTAGATTCGGAAAACATCGAACAAACGCGATGATAAAGATTTTTATTGACTTTACCTTCACGCGATGCTGTTATACGACAGTATATCGTTACGAAACACGTATGATATATGATATACATATAATATATATATATGTACTTTGGAAACGAAAATATATGACCAACATTGGCCTGTCGAGCCGAAAATTCGTAGATTCGTAGATTATTTCGAAAACGGTCACGTTTCGTTCAGATGAAAACGATTGAAAATCATTTGTGTTTTACTGTTTTAATAATTATCGAAAGTATAGCTAAATATCGGAATGTAGGCGTAGACGTTGACATCTGGTTAGTCGAAGCGAAGATAAGGGCGGGAAAATGAATAAAAAAAAAAAAAAACGAATCGTTTCGATCGACTAATCGGTCAACGGTATAGAGATTGCAGGATTAATTTTTCTTATGGGAATTTGTATATATATATATACACACACATATAACGAGGTTTCGCGAATAGGAACGTTCGAAGGTGTTAATCGCGACGAGTTCGAGCTAATTCGTCCTTGAAATAGATACGAAGAAACAAAAACATTATGCGTGGCGAGGACGAAGATAGAGAAGGGTGCGATACGAATACCTCGTGTAACAGGCCGTTGTAGCAGCCTGGCCTCTGCTCAACCAAGATGCGGCGAGTAACTTTTTCGACTAATTCCGGTGACGCGATATATCCGGACGTTAACCCAATTTAAGGTCCCTCCTATTTGAATTCGGGACTGCGCCGGTGCAGAGTGACCCGACCCGGTACGAGGTTTATAGGTCACTCCGGTGTTTCGCGTGATATAGATTTTTCGCGAGCCAGAGCTCCACCGGTGTCCCCCCACCCGCGCGACCGACCGACCTCCTCGGAATCCACGCGTGCACCATCGATCGATTCCTCTTCGTCCACTCGCCGAATCGGGGATCGATCGAGCCAATTTCCTCGAGCGTAGATAGAAAGAAATTCAAATATCCTCTATTCTTACTGCTGTTGTTTAAAGTAATAAGAAGAAAAAAAAATAATAACAATAATCGAGAGCGTCGTGTCGTGCGTCGAGCAACGCAGAAAATCGATAAAAAGTTATTAAGCTCGTGGAGACCGGTTGCGTTACACAAGCTCGCAACTTATGTAATAAAATACGGCAAACTGCAACGGGCGGGCGAGCCTGCAGCGCGACTGCCAGCAGAGAGGGTGTTGCGCGAGAGACCATCCGGTATCGAACGCAACGCCCGTTCGTTTGGTGTTGTAGCTGGCAAGAACGATATTACTATTTATTACTATTAGATATTATTATTTATTCTCATTTTTCCCAAAGATCTCTTTTTTTTTAATCTTCTTGATTGCGACAGTTTTAACTGTATTTAAATTCGCTGTGTGCAAATAACGAGTATATAACGAGATCGTTCGTTACTCGAGAATAATCTGATCGATATGTGGCAACAATGCAATTAAATAGGAACTGACCAACAAGGGTACGATGGACCTTTTTCCGCCCTTCCGTCGTCATCAATTCCCCCCTTACCATCGACTACTTCCATCCCCTCCCTCCCATTTTTCTTCTCCATTTTCCCACCTCCACTTCTGTCATCCCTCCCTCCCTCCTCTCTCTCTCTCTCTCTTTCTCGAACGCTCTGTTCCTTGGCATACCCTGGCCTGCCTCTGCCGTATCGTGCCGCGTTGTGCCACGCGACCGTGTGCCGCACCTCTCTCGGTTTAGCCTGTTTCCACCAACGGTGACCCAGTTCGCGGCTGGAATCGTTTCTTCCGCACACGCCTCGGGATCCAGGTTACACCGAGGTGCCTCTGCGCCCGGCTCTCGTGCCCTCCCCCTCTTTCCACCTTGCTACACACAACATCTTGCTTACCAGCGTATCGATATCTCTCTCTCTCTTTCTCTATTTCGACATCACCTTTTGTTCATTCGATACGATCTTGTTCTCTCTCTCTCTCTCTCTCTCTCTCTCTCTCTCTCTGTCTCTTTGTCTCTTTTTCCAATGCGACGAAAACGATAATTGTTTGTTCAATGAATATGCCGAATATGAGTATGCGGAAGAAAGATGGCACACGTGGGATGTAGCCGGCGTCGCTTATTCGGGGAGAAACAAGAACGAACGCATTTTAGAGAAGAGGAGGCGTTGAGGCGAATCACGTATCTGGTTGGTCCGTTGAAAGAAAAAGGATGAGTACAAAACACGCGTAGAACAACGGCCGAGGAGCACGGTCGTGTCTAGACGCGCGGGTTGCGCGGAAATGGCGGAGCCGAAGATGGATACGCGTTTGAATACGTTGCACGCGTGTATAAGCACTCGCTAACAATCCCTTTCACACCCCCCTCCTACTGCGTCTTTCTCCTCGGCCCCCGCGTAAACTCTTTCTCTCTTCTCCTTCCGGACGAACCGAAAATTCCCAGCGCAAGAGACGCCTCGTCGTCGTGGTAATCATCGTTGCGTGATGTCCTTGCTCGATGCGACAACACAACGGCTTTGTTGTCGTCTCGTCCTTGCTTTCAAAAAGAAAAAGAAAAAAGAAAAAATCTTGTTCGGTCAAGTTATCGAATTCGCGGTTTCATCAACGAATAATTGAATCCAATCGGAAGAGTAAAAGTTTGTATAATAACGAGGGAATGACGTAGTTTTCAGCAAGTCGGAATCGTAGTAGAAAGTAGGTCATCGTTGGTTGACGAGCGGTTGCCATAATATAGGGGCAGAATCCTAGTTCCTTTTTTCTTTTTTCATTCCGATCCAACATTCCGATTCCCTGGCTATTCTTCTTATCCTATTATATTTCTGGTTTAATAAGAATGAACCGTCGATAATTCGAAAAATAATATTTGATCTTGTTTTCGATAATAGAACAGAGAAAGAGAGAGAGTATAAAGTAGCCGTACAAGTTTTCATCGTTAACTTTTCCAACACGATGCTCCTTTCCCTTACATTATTATTTTACCATCTGCAAATATAAAGCGACGTATCTTTTTAAACGTATCTTTACACCGCGAACACTTTCGAAACGATCAAACGAAAGCGCATAATAATCGAAAAGTGGATACGCAGAGTCGCGAGAAAAAGGAGGATTGCGTGGATAAATGAATAAGGTTAATAAAGTTAAAAGAATGATAGCAAAAAGAGTTGGAATAAGGATGATACTGCGATGGATACTGCACAGATAGAGAGAGAGGTTGCTGTCGACGCCCTGCCGTCGCTTCCTGGTTTCCCTATATTGATTTTCTAGTGTACCTTCTGCTAGACGGAAATGGAGCACCACACCGAGAGAGAAAAAGAGAGAGAGAGAGAGAGAGAGAAGATTACTCTGCGCATGCGCTTGATACGTGCGCGTGCACGGAAATCGGCTAGCAAAGTGCTAGTGCGCTCATTCGTGATTTGTGCTTGGCCGACTTGTGTAGGTGTGCGCATGTGTCCACCCGCGCACGTGCACCCCGGTCATGTTTACGGCAATGTGTGAGCGCCTGTAAAACCAAAGAAGGGGAAATAGGTTGGGATACAGATGTGTTGGAGGCATATCCGTGCCCCACGTAGGAGGGTGGAAAGAATACCTACATCTCAGGGATTGCAGGTGGTAGTACGAAGAAGATGGGAAGAAAGTGGGGCTATTTTTGCACCTCCGCTCGTGTCGCCCGGAGAGAACGATGGAGGAGCGTGCGTATAATACGAGAAAGATTATCTCTGGCGTCGAGCTTGCGAGCTTTCACGCTCTCTCACTTTTTCGGCTCGTCTCTCTCGCCTTCTTTTCTTTTCCGCCGCTTTAAGCCTCCTTTAAGTTTCACTTTCTCTCTCTCTCTCTCTCTCTTTCTCCGTTTTCTTCGATTTATGTTTATTATATATTCTTCTTCGTATTCATGTAAATACGTGGAATCGATCGATCATTGCGACGATTGGAATACACGTTACATTCGACTGGATTGCGGTTGGATATATATGATGTTTGTTTAGCTGAAATTTTGGCCGAATAAATTTCGTGTCCCGTTTGCCGGGTTGGCCGTGAAAGGAGTTCAGTAGTAAAGGACAACGCGTGGTCGGACGCTCGGCGATCGATCAGTTATTTCTTTTAAATGATTCAAGGACACACGTTCGTCCGTATCTACGATTCTCAACGATTGGAAGTTTTTTAATTATCATATGTTATTAATCTTACACGATTAAAATTATAGAATTACAGAAGGAATTTTTCGTAAAAGCAAAAACATCGTTTGTTTCATCGCGATGATATTCTCTCAGGAAAAATACACTTGAACTTTGCTTCTTCTCTCCCTTATATCTCCTTTTCGTCTTGTCTTTGGTTACTCTATTCATCCACCCGGGCGACATTGCTGCGGGGTAAGTTTTCTATCGAGGCACTCGTTCTTCCTCAAAAGCCCTTTCTCGACGAGAGAGGCTCGTTTCGATGAAACGCGATAACGAGAGCCGATGAAAAATTAAAATTCGTCGACGTTCTACGAATACGAAGGGAAATATGTACGAATAAAAGGGAAATATCGTGATCGATTCTCGTTTTCGAATTTTTATTCTTTAGTAGTTTTTACGAATCTGTCTCACGCGTTGACGCGAGAAAAATTATTCGAACGAGTAGAAATTGGCGCGTGATCGTGACATCGTGACGTATAGAAATACATCGTAAATTGTTTATCATTTTCCCCGGCCACTGATAAATAGTAATTAGATTTAAATGATATGTTTTCAGGATCGCATGACAGCTAATGGAAACTCACCACTGGACAATATGAGAACGTTGGAGCATTATTTGAGCGACATTATGCGGGCTGGTACAGCAGATACCCCGGAACACGTAAAAGGTAAGTCAACTTGCCTGCTCATTAATCATTGTATATCGACAAACAAAATTTGCATTTCTTCACTTCTCTAAAAATTGAAGCCACGAACAGAAACACCTTAAAAACACAATTTCTTCTTCTTCTTCTTCCTCTTATAATTCCATCAATCTTCGATCCAACGAGGTGTATAAATACAAGTTCGAAAGAAAAGAAAAAGAAAATTAGAAATAAATAAATTCTATCTATTTTTTTTTTTCTTAAATTAAATACAAGTTCGATTGGAGGCAAAAAATAAGAGGATCGGGAAAATGTATACTTTAAGGACGATCAAGATAAATCGGGGAACAACGCGTCGCTTTCGAATGCGCATAATAAAGTAGGATCATTGAATAAGTCAACCAGGCTATCCAAAGAGACCAACGAAACCGACGAAACAGCCACCCAACCGACCACTTAACGTAGACCAGCCCTTCTTAGCACCCTCCACTCGACGCGACTCTACACACTTTGCCCGCTCTATCCCGTTCGCTCTACGCCACTGTGTGTATACGTGTATCTACACATCTAACTCGAGACCGAGGCTAAAGAAGTAGGAAGGAAACTCGCAAACGCTTTGCGTCTCGCAATCTCCTCTCTCTCTCTCTCTCTCTTTCCCCTGAGTTGCCTCGCTTCTTTCTCTACTCACCCTGTCTGCGAGCTCCGACACAACCCTCAGACAAGCGGTCTCGCGCCTACAGTCAAGGGCAAGGGTGGTACCGCGAGACCTCTTCTTTCTTAGGTCGTCTACACACCGAAACCGTACGACATCGACAACCAGAAGGAAATTGGCAGCGTATAAAAATTTTTCGTATAAATCACGTGAGTTACGTGAAAAGGAGAAGTTTCGATATATTTGAATATTTCGTGTGTAATTGAAGAAAGGATATATATTTGATAAAGGGTGTTGGATATTTTCTTTGTTTTTGGAAGATTTTTTTTAATTGTGGAAAGGAAAATACGAAATTTGACAGAATAGAAACATTTATTTATTTATAACGATTTAAATTCGTTTCAGAGGAAGTAAAATTTCGTTCCATCTTGTACTTTCCATAAGTTCTTTTTATTTTTGCATAAGTTTTGTTCGTCTTGATTTCTAAAATTGTGTGAATATATTATCATATCCTTTAAACTTTGTATTTTATATTGCTTGTACTAAATCTTATGCAATTTATACAAAAAGGAAAAATGTGGATATGAGCGGATTTGTGGGATATTGATAACGAATTAGAATTAGTTTAGAATGATATTTTATTAATAAACATTTTGAAATTGCATTATGTCATTTTATATCTCGTTTTCAATAAATCAAATTTTTGACAACAAGATCTTTTCATTTTTCAAAATTATGCTTTTTAAAAGATCAACTCATACACCTTTACAATAATCGGTCAAGATTATTCCAAAATTGTCGCATTTTTAGAAATAAAAAATCGTTGAACCGATTTTTCGTCATTTATTCTCTTCGATACGAACCGCGTATTTGTCTAATCATTTTTTTTATTAATTTACATACATTCTTGTAAAAATTCGTTTCAATTTTGTTACGATATCACGTGTTTCTTAAACTTTTTTCTCAATTCGCTAAACGTATTAATAATAATTCGATTCATTTTCAACATTGGAAAATTATATTTATTTTTCCAGGAAATATAATATAAGAACAAACATATCTTGTATATTTCTCATATATTAGAAGTCAATAGTATTTATAGTTTTTTACATTTAATATATTTGCTCTGAATCTACGTAGAATACAACGTAGATTCTTTACACGTTGATTAAAATTCTTGTTTCTTCAATGATATTTTTAGCGATTTCTTTATAATAAGAAGTAATATGGGATTTTTCAATTCTTTTTTTTTTTTAGAAAATTATACAACACAATGTTACATCCTTCTAATAATTTCTTGCTACTAAAATATAAGAATCGAACGATTTTGATATTCATTCTCCTTGATTTTTTATGTTTCGTGACTTGAATCACGAAATCAATATCAATTGTGTGGATAGAATGAAAGACTTATATGTCTTATATACTTTTAATCCGCTTTGTTCGATCGATCAAGATCAATTCATCGAATGCTATACGATATGATTTACTTATCTTGAAGAAAGTATTTATTTTAAAGGAATTAATGCATAGGATGCGTGAAATATGTATTTTCTTCTTTTAATTATATGATAATTTAATTATATGCAAATGGCAATCGAATTAACGTAATTAAATTATGATAATTTAATTATATTCAAATCCCTATTATTTTGTCCACCACTGTGAAAATTCGTATGAAAATTCGATTATTGGAAAAAAATTGAGCGAGTTAAATTAAATTGTCAACTTGATTCTTTGTGAAGAAATTAATAAATAAAAAAAAATAATATATATATATATATATATATAATGGGAAAAAGGATAAGAACAGATGAGATATTTTTTTTAATTTAAAAAATATTAAAATAGTTATAAACAAAAGAATCGAACGAATAATATTAGGAAATATCATACGAGATCATATGAGATGTATAAATATAAATGTTGTAAACTTGAGAATTTATTTTTCTAAATTAAGACAAAATTGAAATGTAACATGGGACAGACAATGTAATTTTTCAGACAGATAAATTATTAAATTGTTAATGAAAAAATTTTAATCGTATAAAAATGTCAATAATCGAAATTTATTTTATAATCGGATATATCAATTTCGTATTGTATTACAATGAATGCAATTATCAAACAATTAGATTAGTTTCAAGTTTTAGTTTTTTTAAATTTTCTTTCTTTAATTTTATGCTTGGTATTTAAATGGGTCAATTTGAAGTTTTTCATTTCATTATTTATTATAAAAAATATGGATGTTATTATTATTATTATTAACTCGACATTTTATTTTTTATCATTATCATATCCTAATCAAAAACATAATATAATTTCAAACGTCTATTAATATAACTGAAATAATTATAATAATTATAATTATTACTTATATTCTTCCCTTCTGAATTAATTCAAAATTATTTGCTTTGAAATAAGATAAGGGAAATAAGATATCAATTATTGTATCCATTAAAATTTCAAGTATTTATTAAATCAGTATTCTTTTGTTTCTTCCTCACTTCTTAAGATTTGTATTTATTACATTTTATTAATTTTATTTGTTTATCTTTATCATTATTTATTACATTTTTTCCATTAATAAATATTTTTTTACATATATAAAATGTTTAAGAAATTCCAAATATCAAAATAACAAAAAAAATCTGTGAGCCAGTTACTGTAAGATTGAAAATCACATTCTAGTAGATCACATCTTTATAATCAATGATCGGCAAAATTTTAAATTAATCATTGAATTTAAGAATAAAATTACTTCAATAGATAATAATTTATTATTCAAAGCATTGAATTGATTGTTGTATAAAAAAACGTATAGCAGCTACGAATAATATTCGAGTATTTTAAATAATCTTATTATTTTAACAATTAACTTTTCAGCTCATTACTTTTCATCTCTGTCTAAAATACATAAAATTATATTCTATAAATACTATAAGAATATACTGTGTTCTAAATTATTTTATTTATTTATTCTTCTAAATAAATAATATATATATATATGTATTGGACTTAAGTTAAGACTTAAGACATTTACAGCATTGAATATCAATGAAAAAACTTATTGAAAATTTCGAACACCTGTTTTATCCGTTTGTGCAAACAAATTATGTTACACAATTAGCTGCACAAGGTACATTAAATGTAAACACATAACACATCAATTTAAATAATTATATATTTGCAATTTAAAACTGCACTTATTAACTTATAGAGTTTCGTATGTGAAATATTCAGAATTTCTTTATTTTTACTTTTTAATTTTTTTTTTTTTTTTTTTCGGTTAATTCTGACAGCTTTCCGACAACATCATTAGATTAAAATATTTTTTCAGTATTTTGAAAAGTAAATAAATATAAAATATTTTCAATTCAGAGATGTAATTTAAGCATTTAATTTTAATAGAAAAAAATATATTTTCAATTTAATACAATTTCATTGATACATAAAAATAAAAATCAGATCAGTAATAATTGATCTTTATATGGTAATCGGTATTCTTGCGCCGTGCACAAGAATTTTGTGTTGAAAATAAAAAGATGCCAAGTAATCAAAAAAATATTAACGAATGGCAACCCTGTCGTAACGACGTAAATGTTGTCCTTATATTTTCCATTTCATTCAAGATTGTTACTACTGTATATTATCTCCTTCGACGTTTTACAAATTCAATTATCTTTGCCAATAAAAACCGTTTCTTATCTTCAAAGTTTTTTCTTGGAATCTTTTCCTCCGAGGAAAAATAATTTCGTTAATTAATCCACATTAATTTTCCCTTCTTTATTCTTCGAAACCTATTATTCTCCTCCAAAATATTTATACATAAGAAAATTATTAAAAAAAAAAGAAAGCAAAGATCATCCTCGCTCAATTATCGATTCCTTTATAAATCGAGAAACCATTGAAATTATCTTTCCTCCTTATCTTCATCCACGCCGCAATTAAAATTCTGATCGAAATATATCGGAGATAACGATCGTCCCACCGCAACAATAACGAACGGATCATGGCGACAATTTCCGTTCAGAAATTCACGGCTCGATAAAGTGAAAGACAGAGAGGAAGAGAGAGGACGTAACCCTTTTGCGAAACGGTGTCTGGTCGAAGACTACTCTCCCCCGGTGAAAAATGAATAATAGGGTTGAGGGGTGGGATAGGAAATCGCGAACGAGTCTTTATTCTAGAACAAAAACCCTCTCCTAAGGCATTGTAAGGCTCCGCTGAGTGGGCGTGCTTGCCACGACGCCATCTTTAAAAGTGTCAGCACGGCACTTTAAACTGCACCAGTAGGTCAAGTCTCGGAAAATCCGGGTGCAACCTCGAGACAACGGCAACAGTGCCGCGTGTTCTACCGTCATCCTCGTCC